CTCTCTCTCTCTCTCTCTCTCTCTCTCTCTCTCTCTCTCTCTCTCTCTCTCTCTCTCTCTCTCTTCGTTCCATGTAGACAGACCCCCAACCCACTCGTTTGGCTGGGCGGCTTACCATCGGGACGCTTGGCCTGAGTGATCTGGATCGCGGCGATGATGTCTCTTCGGCTTCGCTGGAGGCACTTCCACAACGCTTTGAACGTCGGTCCGATCAGGCTGTTGTTGACGTCAAGACATTTCTCCAGGTAATCGCAAGGCACACGTGGGAAATGGCAGCGGAGCTTGTACACACTCCACACTCTATATCTCAGAGCTGCAGCAGACAGAACTCTGGGCGTCGAGGTGGCTGCCGTCGCTGCAGCTGATGTTGATCTGGTACTTCTCCCCGAGCAAGCCAACACCGAGGAAGAAGCAGAAGAACAAGAAGAACAAGAAGAAGAAGACACCATAGCTAGACCTCCAGCTGCTGCACCAGCAGTCCATTGATGCCCCCCTCCTCCTCCCCCTCCCCTCCTCCTTGCCGGTTCTTCAATCCTCATTCCCTCCTGGACGGTGGCTGTGGAGGCTTTGCCGTCGATTCGCACGTTCAATGCATCTGGTCGGCATTCATCCTTGCATGCACACGTGGCAGCTTGCGAGGCGACGATCGTCACATCACTGACCTTCGCCGTTGCCCTCCGCTTGGGGTCCTTCTTGTACCCCTTGCACGCAAATTCATCACACACCCTTTGGAACAGCCTCGACGGATTCTTCTTCTTCTTCCAGCAGATCCGATCGACGACGTACCTTGGAGATGCATCGGGGTAAATAGCAAGCACTTTGGTCAAAGTCAACTCTACGGTGTCGCCCGCTTCTTTACTTGCAGGCACACCACGTGTATCTCGGACCATCATGTGCACAAGAGAGGACATCTCGCGATCGATGGACGGATTGATTGATTGATTGATTGGCTGATTGATCAGTTGATTGATTGGTCGGTGTAATTAATCTCTGGTCTCCTCCTCTTGCAGGTCCGTTGATCGATCCGACGAAGACTGACTTCTACGACCTCCCTCCCTCCCTTGGTCAGTTGATTGATTGGTCGGTGTAATTAATCTCTGGTCTCCTCCTCTTGCAGGTCCACTGATCGATCCGACGAAGACTGACTTCTACAACCTCCCTCCCTCCCTCTCCTTCCTTCCCTCCCTCTCCTTCCCTCCCTCCCTTCTTCCACCTGATCCTTGCAGCAGACAAACGACGGCGGAAGACGACCGGTAGCCGCAGCTCCCCACAGCACAGTACGATCGAGAAGAGCGGTCTTTCGCTCTCAGCTTACCCCTAATCGTTTGTACAAGAACTACGGTTAAAGGACGCAGACCGGCCGACCGGTCGGTCGGTCACACAACCTGCAGTCAGTCGTCCAATCGAGGTCGCGGACCAGTGTAATCCCAGCACACAGCTCTTCAGGTCCTGAACTTCCTACTGAAGTTATATGTATATCAGAGCGTCGGTCGCAGAACGGGTAATCGGTCGCAGAACGGGCGATCGGTCGCAGAGCCGACGGTCGGTCGCCGAGCGGGCGGTCGGTCGCAGGATCGAAGTAGAAGAACGGGCGGTCGGTCGAAGTATGGCAGTCGCACAATCGGCGGTCGGTCGCAGGATGGCAGTCGCACAATCGGCGATCGGTCGCAGAATGACGGTCAGACAGCGCCGGTCCCAGCAGACAAGCGGCTCAGGTCCCCTGCTAAGCTTATAGATCTATATTAGGACGGCGGTCGCAGGACGGGCGGTCCCAGCAGAGAGCGATTCAGGTCTGGTCCCAGCAGAGAGCGATTCAGGTCTGGTCCCGACAGAGCGATTCAGGTCTGGTCCCGACAGAGAGCGATTCAGGTCTGGTCCCAGCAGCGCCGGTCCCAGCAGAGAGCGATTCAGATCCGCTCCTGGGCTGTGCTCCTAAGCTCATAGATCTCTATCAGAACGGCGGCCGCAGAGGGACGGTCGCAGAACTGGCGGTCGGTCGCAGAATCGGCGGTCGCAGGACACAGCGATTCAGGTGCTCCACTGAGGTTTATAGATCTATAAACTGTTTGTCACCCGTGCAAGTTCAAAAAAAGAAAGAAGAAAAAAAGCTGCCTTCAACTGCCAGGTGTTACGTAATCTCTCCCCGCGTACGAAAAGCTGTCGCTCGTCGGCGCATCTTCACCTGCCACGTGTCATCACGTACCAAGCACAATTGCACAGAGAGAGTTCAGCATCATGCCCTCAGAAGGTCATCATCTTCATTAACAAAAAAGACGGAGAAAAAGAAAAGAAACTTCATTTAACATTCATTGGCCTCATCATCATCATCATCATCATCATCTTCATCTTCATTAACAAAAAAAAAGACAGAGTACAAAGCGTGTGCTGTACTGTACAACAAGAAGGCGGTTTCGTCTTTTTTTTGTTTTTTTTTGGCACGGTAGTGCCATTGTACAATTTCACAACGATATGGTCGCCTCCGCCAGAATAGATCGGGCCAATTTCCTTTAAAAAAAGGGAAAAACTGTCCTCATCTCGTGGTCCATGGAATCAATGCCGGGGGGGGTCGATTACAGAGCAACAATGCCCTTTTAACCTGAATTTGTCCTATTTTTTTGAATTTTTTTCACTGGGTTTTGCTGAACCGGGGTGTCCTTCGATGATCAAGTGCCCTGTCGTAGTAGAGTTCAGTAGGTAATGAGCCAGCCGGGGGCACGGTTCCACTAGCACACGAGTCATGGCCTAGTGCGAGGCCTGCGACACTCCAGGAAAACGAAGAAAACTCCAGAAAAACGAAGAAAAGAGAAAAAAGAAAATTGAAGTGGTGACTTCTCAAGTCCCAAGGTGGGGACGAGCCCGACCTTTGGAAGTGCTGCAAAAGGCTGTGCCATCTTCTTGAACTGTAGAATGGACAGTGTATGAATGTATCCCTCGCAGAACGTAGCCAGATTCACTTCTTCCATCTTTCTTTATTGCCTGAGGGTGCACCTATGACAAGTGCTACGTGACGATTGCAGTCCGAGTCTCACGTACCACAGAGAGGGAGTGGAGTCCCGTAGTGTGCCCGATGGGACTGCCTCCTGTGACAGTTCCCATGTTCAAGCGTGAAGTCCTTATATTTTGAGAAAGAAATGAAGTACTCGAGGGGCTTTCTATTGACCGGAAAAGAAAGCATGGTCAATAAGAATGACTTTTTTTGTTTTGTTTTCAACAACCACCAATCAAAAACAGACTTGGTGTTTCTTTTCCCCACATCCTGTTATTCACCAAATGAAAAACACCAAGAAAAAGTAAATTAAAACACAAATTTTAAATATACAAACATCTTTATTTTGCTATCCTCGGATTTCGATGCAGCAACGGCTGGTGGATGTCCCCCGGACGTCCCACAGGTGTCGCCTTGCTACAATATACCTTACTCGGTTGCTAGTGGAACTGTGCCCCGGGGGTCAATTACAGAGCAGCAACCCTTTTTTGACGGTCCATTTTTCTTTTATACTGGGTATTGAACCTTTGCCCTCTGGTGATGAAATACCACCACCTGTGGTATTGTAGTTTATTTAAGGCCTCGCTGCACTACTCTCCACATGCACAAAAGACAAAAAAGACGGGGATGTATCTTTCCATATTCTAGGGTTGGATTCTGTTCCATTTTGCACATTTGGAGAGTAGTGCAGGGAGGCCCTTAGGGCCTGATCCCACCACTACACTACAGCCCAGTTACACTGTAGTTTTTGGATCCCACCACTTTCCGACATCGTCGCGGCCGCCGAAATATTTTGCCCTACTTTCGTTTGTGTGTGGTGGCAGCGCATCCCCGAAGGCCCGAAGGGTGCGGCGTCGGGAGCTAGTGCGAAAACGGGATACCAGTTGAAGGGGTTCCATTACCGAACGCGGAACGAGGACGATAAATATGGAAAGGGCCACGCGATTGAGACCATCCACATCGGATTCAGAATTGTGTAGTGTGCGGCGTCGGGAGCTAGTGCAAAAACAGGATACTTTCCCTCCTGAAAACCGGTGTTCTGGATTCGTAGGCGCTGGGTTTGTCATTGTGGATACGCACTTTCCGCCGTACTCGCTACTACTACCATTTAACGAGCTGATCGTCATCCCGTGGTCGGCGGTGGCACCCCATTGGCCTGACACCTTGTGTAGTGATTGCCAACGTCTCGATCAATACCAGTCAAAGGGGTTCCATTACCGAACGCGGAACGAGGACGAGCATAAGGAAAGGGCCACGCGATTGAGACCATCCACGTCGGATTCAAAATTGTGTAGTGTGTGGCGTTAGGAAATACTAAACACGTGCCCGCTCCCTTCCACTCCAAACGCCGAGCCGTGGCCCGGTGGGAAGTCCGACAGTACTTTCTGGATTGAGTTTAAAACTTCCCCGCGTCACAAACCCCGCGTGCGCCGAAACCCGCCAGATCTCTCACTTCATCAGACCCACACGGAGGATTTCAGTTCTGTCTGTGTCGCCACATTCAATCTTCCAAAAATCCTTGGCACACCCCATCTTGCTGTTTTTCGGGGCCTCCCTTCCGCACCTTTAGCACTCCGAACGAAAGACAGCGCAGGGCGTGAGATTGCGCGTCACACCCCAGCCCCAGAAAAAAGCATCCCTCAAAATCTGGCCCCACTCCCTCCAGGGCACTCACCTCCAACCTTGTGTTAGCCCCCCCTTGCAGAGTAGGGCTCTCCCCCACAAGACCAGGCCCAATCCTCGCAAGAAAGTACTCCTTCGGACCAGGTCCAATGCATGATGACATGGAGAATCTTCCACGGCCTATGACAACTCCATAAAAGTTGGATTTGTTTTCTTCCAAAGCCCCAGGTCTCATGCATGACCCCCGATTTCTGCAGTCTAGGGGTCTTGGCCCCAGGTGCCATGTAGGACACGGATTTTTTTTTTTTTTTTTTTTTTTTTTTTTTGCCCAGGTTGTTGTAGAGGCCAGATTGCCACCCATAGCGGGCACTGCCGCAACCCGTCAGCTTCCCTTCTGAGGCCTCCAAAGATGGATTTTTTCTTCCAAGGCCCCAGGTCCGATATGCTACCGTCGATTTCTGCAATCTAGGGTCATAAATGATGGTACCCGCAAGTGGGCCTTGGCCCCAGAAATGAGGGATATCGGCAAGAGGATGGGTATCATGCCACAACAACCGGCAGTTGAGCCAGGTATCATACATACGGTCCCCCAGACTGAGTATGGCAAATACGACTCAAAAAAAAAAAAAAAAAAAAAAAAAACAAGCCCCATTGGGGTAGTGAGGATGTGTGTTGAGTGCAGTATGACCCCTCACAAAAGCACTGTCATGAGAAAAGGGGCCCCTTTTACAGTACCCAACAGCATGGCGACATATCTCACCTATCTAACAAGACTGCACTCACCCCTATATATTTTCTTTTTTTTTCCTTTTTTTTTCCCAAATGACACAGCTCCATCTATTGGTGGGGAGCATCACCTGCTGGAAAACGGGTCCGGCGTCCCTGTACAATACNGTCAATGCCTGGTCATTGTCTGTTAATGCACATGCACAGTAGTCATTCTACTGTAACCCCCTGGGGTCCAAACTCCCTTAGAGCTGCTGTTGTCACCCATCCCCTCTTGGAACCCCACCTACTCTGCTGCCCCAGTGCAATTCTGCAGCCCCCTGTATTTTTTATTTTATTTTTATTTTTTATTTTGGTTTAGACGGCCTTGAGATATTATCATTGAGCTGACCAGCCCCAGGCAATTCATTAGTAGTTGGCTTTTACTCATCAAGTTCTTTTTTTTTTTTTTTTTTTTTTTTTTTTTTTTTTTTTGAGAATACTCAACAAGTTCTATCATCTGGATTCGAACGCAGGTCTGTATTTAACAGTTCATGGGTGTACCCATTGAGCTAGGCTCTTGGGTGGCCCCTGTATTTTCAATTAGCCCACTACGCTTAAACTCGGCAATAATGTCATCGTAATCGAAATTGGCCGACATGTATTGTCTATCATTCTCTACCTAACCCCTATATATTATCTTGAAAGGGAGACAACGCACGACTAACAAAAATGAGTTATAATTGCACAACAGACAGACATGCCCTCGATTCTGACGGTTCTCTTACCACCTCCGGGATAGAGGGCTTACACAAGGGCTTAAAAAAAAAAAAAAAAAAAAAAAAGTATACAACCCAGGTTTCTGGCCAGGTAGGGTGCCCAAAGTGCAATTGCAAACTGTATCTTTCCCCATAGTGCAAAATTATAACTCGTTTTTGTGACTACTGAAGTTACCCCTATCTTGAAATATCAAGAGTGGCCTCTACAACACCCTG